TATCTTATGATGCCTTGTTAGCTGAATAACTATGTTTAAAAGATTAACTATGTTTGATATAGTCCCAAAAAATGCTATGAATGCTTTGCATTATTTCAAACACATTTTAGATTATATTCCCAATGTAATAAAATGGTTATATATATATTAACAACTTTTCCATTAGTAAACTAATGAGAGAACATTCTCTTTTTTTAAGAAGAATAACAGAGCCCTGCAGAGGTACCATTTGCAGGGCACGGCCCGGATTTTTTTTTAAAATTTTTTACGGCCCGGCCCAGATATTTTCAGGCCCGGCCTGGATTTTTTAAAATAAATTATATTTATTTTTGATTTAGATAGCTAATAATAATGATTTCAAATATAGGCTGTTTTAAAATATACAGCCCGGCCCGGATATTTTTTAAAAATATTAAAATACGGTCCGGCCCCCAGGTCTCTGAAAAATATACCAAGAAGTACAACTTCTGAAAGTAGATTGAAAGGTTTGGATCGATGAATATTCATAGGCATTTCAAGAACAAGCAAGGATAAGATAATAGAAAAATTAGCTCAATCCCAACGAATATTGGATTTTAAATTGTAAATATATAACATACAAAATACAATTATTCCTAAGAAAATTTTTGTGTATTAATTTATATTTCCAACATTTAAATTTTTTATACTTTATATATAAATTTTAAAGCTCTAAAAATTCAAATTTATATTTTGGGTCATTTAAGTGATTCATATGTGATTATATTCATTTTATATTTTATATAAAACATTTATTTTATAGTTTTTCATATGCCGCCACTTATATCCGTTGAATATTTTTTAATTCATATTTATTTTATAGGTTTTTATGTGCCGGTTTATATATATATAATTTTTTTATAATTCACATTAATTTAAAATTATGTATTAGAATTTATGCTTGATATTTTTTAATAAAAATAATATTTCTTAAAAAATTTTATTATCCCCCCCCCCAGACTAAATTCCTGCGTACGCGCCTGCTCGCTACTAATCATAATTTAAATAATATCTAGTCATCATAAGTGTTTATAAACTCATTAAAAATGTTTGTAAAAATCACAAATTAAAATAGTTCAAAATTTGCCAAAAATTATTTGTTTTATAACCATTTTCCAAATTTGATATAAAAAATTTATAATAGTTAAATATTTCAAAATATTTTTAACATATAGATGGACAATTTATGATCTATTTTAAAATAGATTTATATATTATAGTGTCTTAAATTTTGAAAATTTTGAAATGGAATCCACTATACCCAGTCTTTTTTTTCCACTACCAATCCCCTAAAAAGTTTCAAATAGTATGCCACTCATTTCTAATAAATACCCAAAATTTTAAACTAAACTCAAATTAAAAATAAAGAACAAAAAATAATACTAGTATTAATTTATACTAGACACTATAGTTTTACAACTTATTCCTAATATTAAAAACTTTTACTAAATTTAAAACAAAGTTTGTAAATAATTTTTAAATTTTTATTTACCTCGTGGATTAAATAAGAATGACATTGAAAACGTATTAGACCCAAACTTTCTACTGGTCTCAAAAACTAAATATTTATTCTTTTAAATATTTCTACATATAACGAAAGGAAGTATAAAAAAAATAATGGCAATGGAAATCTCTTTATAAAACTAAAGGTTTTAGGAATTCTTTCTAGTATCAAAAACTTTTAACTAACCTCATAACAAAGTTTTTATAAATTTTCACATTTTAATTTTCCTCGCGGAAGGAAATAGAATAGCAGTGTCAATTTAATACTAGCCTCAATGGTTTTGGAACTTCTTTCACCTTTTACTGGGTTCAGAACATAAATATATAATTTATTTGTATTTCTAAATTTTACGCACCGGTTAAGAAAAATAATGGCACTATAAATTTCTTTATGAATCCAATTTACAACATCTTTCTAATATCAAAAACTTTTAACTAGACTTAAGACAAAGTTTTAAAAGATGCTCAATATTTTTTCCTCGTGAACTTAAATTTAAGTCAGTGCCAATTTATAACTAGATTTAGAGATTTTTAGAACATCTTTTTAGTATATAAAACTTTTAACTAGGTTTAAAATAAAATTCTAAAAAATTTTCATAACTTTATTACCTCGTGGAGAAAATTTAATGTCAGCGCCAATTTATTACTAGACTCAGAGGTTTTGGAACATCTTTTTAGTAAACTTTTAACTAGGCTTAAAACACGGTTTAAAAAATTTTCATAACTTTATTTCCTCGTGGAATAAAATATAATGGCAGTGCCAATTTATTACTAGACCTAAAGGTTTTAGAACATCTTTCTAGTATCACAAATCTTTAACAAGGCTAAAAACATAATTTAAAAAATTTTCTTTTTTTCTCGTGGAATAAAATATGACAATGCCAATTTATTACTAGAACCAAAGATTTTAGAACATTCTATCTTATATCAAAAACTCCAAATCCGGATTAAAACAAACTAGTTTAATTTTCTATATAGACCCAACCTGATGGGTTGGCTCATGAGGCCCGTTGAGTCGGGTCTGATCATGGATAATTGGGTTGGCTCGGGTTTAAGTGTATTTTTTCGGCTCAAACTTGATGGGTTTTCGGCCAATCTGACCCGACCCAGAAATTTAACAACACTAAATGTTGAGTGAACTAACATAGAGATAGGAGTAGAAGGTGTGTTGAATTTACTTTATTTTATAAATGATTTTACTTTAAATTTATAATATAAAATTTAAGATGTCAGGATTTAATGTTGAGTATAAATGTTTGCTAATATAATTTAAGCTGATATTTGCTATCGTTGTTTACAAAATTAAATGAGTGGAATGCTTAAAATCTAAAATTCCTCATACTTTTGGCTATTTAGAAGCAATAAGTGAACCTAGAACGCGGTCTGAGACTTTTTTGATTTGAGCCGTAATAAATATTCTTATTAAAATGCTTTAGGCAGATTTTTATTCCATTATCTTATATTATATAAAATAGGGATTAAAAAAAATCAATGTAAATATCGGTATCGAATATGTGCCATTTGAAATAAATATCTACAAATATTTGGCCGGTGAAAATTTTTTGATCAACGCAATCCTAATTTTTTCATTATATAATTTAAAAACTAATTTCTGTTAGAAAAAGGGAAGAGCGATTGACACAAAATAATCAGGATTATTTTTAAAAATAATTAACAAGTGAACAAATATTGTCTTATTTTGAATTTGGTTAATGCATCAGGACACCCAATTAGTAATAATAATAACTAAAATTAAAAATAATAAACAACCATTATTTTATTAGTCAAGAAAAAAATTGGTTTAACAGTTTTATTGGACATTTATAATAGTATTCATTTTCGAAAATATTGAATGATTTTCTTTCCCACTCACTGACTAGTTAGATTTTTTTCAGTAACATTAGTGGTTTGCAATGCCAAATTTTTCTAACAGCCAAACCAAATTGTACCTAACCCATTTCAAATTTTTTTCTAAGGTAGTCTAACCCACCTTTTTAAATACAAGACCTAACCCAAAATATATTTATGAACACCAAAATAAACAACTATTTATACTATTGGGAGTGGTTAAATTAAAAAAAATCTATATTAATTAACTCTTCTTATGGGAATTTAAAAATAAAGCCCATTAATTTTTTCAGCTTATTAATGTATTTATCCAGCCTGACCCAAATAAATTTTTTTCAAACATTATGTAGTCCAGGCATTATCAACCTCAAATGCACATGAATTTCCAATTGAAAGTCAGCTTTTTATTTGACAAAATATATTCATGACTTATCAATATATATCAGAGACCTGCAGGCATGGCCCTGGTACCCAGGCCGGGCCGTATTTTAAATTTTTAAAATAAAATAAACCCGAGCCAGGCCGGGTCTGAAAAAATTTTTTTTTTTAAAAATATCCGGGCCAGGCTGTAATTTTTTTTATTATATTCTTAGATATGGTTATGATTAATATAATGTTCGGTGAAAGTTAACACTAGCTAACATTCATTGTATCTATTTCATAATATAATTAGTTTTCCTGCAATGGAATAAATACGCAAAGGATAGGTAATAAATACATTATTATATAATATGTTATATTTTTTAATAATTAAAATATCAATTTTATTTTTTTATAAATACAATTAATATAGTATATTCTCAAAATATTATTTACACAAATATTTTATAATATCAATTTGTAATATATTAAATATCTGTTTAGAATAAAATAAAATATAGCGTTGTTAAACAGCTTTTGAGACGATTTTTAAAAGCGGCTAACAGAGTATTTTATCCAGAAAAAAATTACGCAAGCCTGAAAATTTTGTTTATAGAAGGAGCAAAGGTCTAGACATATAGTATCGAAATTTCGAGGCTTAGTCAATATTTTTCTGGCGAAAATACTGAGTTAGCCGTTTTTAAAAATCGGCTCAAAATGAGCCGTTTAACAACATTAGCTAATATGTTTGCTTATTAAATGTAATACTCGCCGAAAAATATAATAAAATACGGAATATGCGAATTTTTTGTATATACCAGGTCGAATATAATTTTAAAACCCGGGCCGGGCAGTAAAAAATTTTTGAAAAAAAATTTGGGCCAGGCCGAAAATTAAAAAAAAAAATCCATGCCGGGCTGTGCAAATGATACCTCGCAGGTCTCTGATATATATTTTTCTAACAACCTCCTAATCTTATGAAGCATTTGCATTTAACTTGCAAAGTTATATTATATTAAGGTAAAAAAAATTATGATATATTCAATCTAAATCTGTAATTCACTGATTGAAATATTGGCATTTAATTTAAATCGCGATTTAATTTAAAAAAAATCACAAATTTTGCCAACCCTATCATAAAACTAATATTTATTATAAAAACTCTCTAAATCATATATTTAAATAATTTTTATATAGATTTTGCATATTTTTTAAATATACTTTGGAATCAAATATAAAATATTATAATTTATAAAAATTGAAGTGTCAACAATCAAGAGAATCATGAATTCTACCTTAAATAATTGCATTATTAAAAATTTAATCAAATATTGTTCAGATTAATGCTCATTAATTTGTAATTGCTGAATTTGTATATCATTTTGGTTACAATCCATTAAAACATTTGAGTCAAATTTTTTATCATCTTTTAAAGATAAATTCCACATTGAATATTCTGGTTTTCCAGTAACTTCCTCAGCCATGGTTAAGAAATTTGGGAGCTTCAATTGACTAGTAGGCTTTGTAGTGTATGTTTCTAATAATACTAAACCTTTGCATGATTTTGGACTTCGTTTTTGATACACGTCCAATCTATAATAATGATTATCATATAAGAAGCAACGTCTTGTTTTATAGATAGTGAAATGAGATCTATCTCTTTGTGATTGCAATAAATAGGAATATTCCCTTGCATCAATTTGTCTTTTTATTTCAATAGCTTGGCCTTTAATTTCTGGTTTTCTAACAGTGTGAGTAAATGTAAAATTGTGATTATTTATAGTATTATAATTATCCATATTACCATCAGTTAAAATTCCCCGCTTACGTAACCTTATCTGTGGTAATTTTTTATAGTGTAACATATTTTTAGAGTGGTTATCATCACTATCTGGTGGGAGTAAATAATCATGTACAACAGTGAATACCTGATTAGGAGGAAATAATTTTAATAGTGTGGGATCATCTTCATTAAAATTTATAATTAGAAACTTTTTCTTTCGGGATAAGATTTTCAAACTTTCACCAGTTTCAATACCTAATCTGCGACAAACAACACTGATAAGTCGAAGGATTTTTGCTTCAAATCCTGTACTATTATCTATAATATCAAAATAGGGGTGGCCAATCCAAACATCAGCAGTTTTTTTGTCAACTTCACAAGCTCTATCTAAACCTTCATGTCTAGCAGCATTTCCCTGGCATGTATAAAAGTCTTCAGCCCCATTAGCAGCTGAAACCATGTGTATGACTTGATCATATCTATTATCTCTCAATAAAGGAATGGTCCAACTATTTTTACGCAATATATAATTAAACTCCTCTTCTTTCATATAGGCTGCTGGATCCATAGTACCTCTATCACATATAATTATAGTTTTTTGGGAAGAATTGTTTATAGGTAAGGCATTGGAGTGATTAATTGAAGTCTTATTAACACCAGAATAATTAAATTCCCTATTAACAGTTTGAGAAGCTTCTTCTGGATAATTTTTGGTGTTTTTTTCAGCTATGTACTTGATATCATGTGGATTAACACATACCACATCAAAGAAGGATTTTTCAAGTTGCATCATTGTTCTTAATAAATTTTCTTGAAATTTAATAGCCTGCTTTTTTGTCAGATACTCAAATGAGATACCGCCACCTAATAAAAGTGTGGCCGTCTCTGGAACTCGATATACTTTCCAACCAATATTTTCAAAAAATATATGTAATCTAGATTGTCCAGTTGTTTTACCACCACATGGGCCACCCGTTAATACTATTTTAAAAGTTTGCGAAAAATCTTCATCTTCTTTTTGAAGTGCTTCCATCTATTAGAGCTGAAGAGAAAAAAATAGAATTAAATTTACGATAAAATAAAATTAACTGATTCACGAAACTTATTATGTCAATCACTAATTCAAAAGCCATTTTAAAAATAAAAAAATTAATATTAAAGTACTATTTAAATTCTCAGGTTGCATATTGTCGTTATTAGAGGTGGGCGCGGGCCGTGAAATTACGAGTGGCACGATATGTGAATTTTTAAATTTATAAGCGTGACCACTTTCCAAAATTTTTCCGAGCGATTGGGCGTAAACATAAATCTACCGTGAATCATGGAAATTTTAATTTTTAAAATTGTTTCATGAATATAAATTTACAATGTGATAATTTTAATCAATATTTTCTAATTTAATTTAGTTTTTAAAAAATAATTTTTGAAAACAAGCGCATTTTATAAAAAAAATTTTTTTTTCCCGTCTATAAAATTTCAATTGAATGAAAAATAATAAATCACTCAATTCTCGCTCAGCAATGGAAATTTGGAAATAAATTAAGTAAATATAAATATGTTTTATTTTTATTTCTTTACTATATACACCAACCAATCATTTCCACTCAAATTAAAATCAGTCAAAAGTTATAGGAAGATTAAATATCTTAGTAATTTATTTTTGAAATTTTAATAAATGTAGAATTATAACACAAAAACTGCATTTTATTATTAATTTATTTTTCACATTAAAAATTATATATATTTTTCATATAATAATAATCGATATCATCTATATTTTTAACAATTAATAAAAATAATAATAATTGCTTGACATCATTCTAAATATAATCCTATTAACTAAATATAATATAAACTAAATATAAATATTTTATTATTTACTACAGAAATATCCTCATATTTACCTACAGATCTAAAATACTCAATATTGCTTGTAATATTTAAAAATTTATTAATTTTCAAACACTTTATTTTATTAGTCAACATAAATATATGTTTAAATAACAATAATTTTTTTTTTACATTTAAATTAACAAGTTTTCAAAAATATTTGTATTTATTTAAATATTAATTTATCTTTTCTCTATTTTCAGTAACCTCATAATGCTATAATAATGAATTCATTGTAAATGATGGGGGTTTTAATTGAAATTATTATCTAAAAAATAACTCCTTTTAGGGGGGTAGGCATAGGTTTTGAAAGGGGTTTGCATCCATTGAAAATCCTGTCATGTAGATGCTGTCTATATTTTCCTGGAATACTGTTTTTAATCTTTTCCATTGCCTCTCAAATATTTGTACATATATAGAGGGTCTGACCTTAATACAAAATATTTTGAATGATTTACTACAAAATGATCTCAATAAATATACTTTACATTGATTGGAGTCTTATGCATATACTTTTAATTATACCTAATGTGTGTTCATAGACAATTAACTCAGAAACAATGTGTTCTTTTGCAGATCCCTCTAACAATACAGCTAGCCCTACTAAATAGGAGTCTGCCTCTATTATGCTTTCTTTTAAATTGATAACTCATCTAATTCTCTTGGTCGCCCAAGGACATAAAATTATGATATTCATAAATCAGACGCTAACTATCATTTATAACTTTTCTAATTTATCCTATAAACAAAACTTATATTCTAAATGAAACATTTAGCGAATTTCTAGATGATTCTGATGAGGCATTAACATATATCGATGAAAGTTGTGATTAACGTAAAAGATTCATCTCTCATAAAACAAATAACTATGACAAATTTTGAACTTTGGAAGCACAAAAATTTATTTCTTTTCTGCGAAAATTTTACTAACCCCGACAATCCCGGCTTCTAGTGAAAGGTTATTTTATATAGTTAATCGCTCATTAGAAGAAAGGTGGGCACAATTGAAATAAAAAAACATGGGCATCCTTCTTTTTAATTTTGATTTAAAAATTGTAATTATTTTATGTTTTTAATATGGAATTAGAGAAAAACCATAACAGAATAAATTCAAAAAAGTGTAAAAGTATAGCAATAAAATGTTGAAAAATTTAAAAATACCGTGAATTTTCTATCGTGATCAAAATATTGTCTTTCATGAGCGGGCGGGTCAAATTTTTTTAGTAGTAAGTATAAAGGTTGAGCGGTCGGACCGTGAAGAAAAATTAGGACCGCTCCTTCCTCTAGTCGTTATATTGAAAAGCCAAATTTTTTGTCATATTGTATTTCTTTTATTTTTACAATTAATCTTAATTATCCTATTCAAATCAGCTTATTTTAAAAAAGTGTTTGTATTAAGTATATCCGGTGTGGGGGAGGGGTATTTGGTTGATTTTTTAAGATCTTAACAGAGATCTTTAAGGCAACTTATTGCAGGCCTTTGGCTCTGTTCTTATCTGATTTGTACTCATTATTATAAAAAATATGGTTTATAGTAGTGATATATAGTATACATATTTGGGGAAGAGAGGAAATATTTTAGCTTACAAGGGATGACAGGCAAATTTTCAATGTAGGTGATAACCCCCCTGACTATACCTATGAAACTATTTTCACTATTTTACGAATTTGTTAGAACTGCCATAAGTAAATTTAGGCGCCATCAAAATATTTTGTTATACACACACAAAAAAAAATGTAAAAATCATCATTTAATAATATATAACGGTTTAAAAAAAATACAAATATTTTAAAAATGGTAAAACTTTAAGAAAAAATTATGATTAAATTATATCCATTCCCATTTTTTAATTATCGAAACGTTTCCATGTTAAAAATCCATTACATTCTTTTTTAGTAAGTTTTAAATTATTTTTTAAAATGAATAATTTATTTTTACTATATTTGATCCTAAATCAGACCCCCGTAAAATTAAACAAATCTTTTTGGCTGTTTCTTCGCCATGAAATCAGTGGCGTTAATAGACCAATATGCATATATATATATATACTACTAGATCAGCGATTCTTTCATTAAATTCCTTTCTAAATGTTTATAAATAGGAGTTGCTATAGCGCCATTTTGTGATTTACCATTAATGTGCTACAATGATAAATAAATCTTCGATTTTTGGAAGATAAGAGAATTGGATCTTCCTAAACTTTCAATATTAACTGGAAAGGTCCTGTGTGTTCCAGCTATGAGCACACCCAGCGAACGTGTCCATAGATATGCTCACTTTCAACTCTAAAGGATCATCATTATGTTCTATAAATCTAAATAAAATATTTATACAAGATAATTATAACTAAATAAAATCGTTAAATAATAGTTATTATTACAAGTTACCTTAAATATAACAAAAATGCCCTTTACTCTCAATTATATAACTTAACAACCCAAAATAATTCTTTCTAATAATATTAAATAAATACCATTGACCATTAACGACGATCCATATTTAACATAATTATCTTTATTTCCAATAAAACCACAACAATCTAACATAAAATATGTAGAAAAATATAACATAATATAATTATCCAATTCTTCATTTCTCAAGGGTCCACAGCTGACATCCAAAGGTCCACAGCTGACATCTAATTCAATATCTCTTAATCTCCAACTACGGGTTTTTCCGAACAATGAAATACACCCCGTGATCCTTATCTCCTCTTCTTCCCCCAAGGAAAACTTAATTTCCCTGTCAGAAAATAACTGACATTTGATGTATTATATTAAATTTATTTCTTCTTTTTTTCAACAGCTACAACACGCCCACCCTTCACAAGCCCAGCGTCCCTCTCTTTGTGGTGGTGTTGTATCGAATCGCCCCTTTGAATTGTATCATCACCTCTTTGAATTGTATCGACTCGCCCATTATAATTGTATTGGGACGCCTTGAAGATGTTCAGGGAATTTATCGAATCAACTTCCCTTATAATGATTTATAATATAATAACTCCAGTACATTTCAATATAAAATCGCCAAAACAGACATTATCAATAATGACATGTACATTGGGGTATCTGCATTTATAATCTACGGAACATTAATATGGACAATGTAATATCCGCAAAACATAATAATTTATTCATTTTAAGACATTTGGGAACTACTAGCTATAATATACATTATTAGGGTATGATTCATGGTAATTAGGAAATAATGATTTTACATATAATAATGTAATGTGAAAACATTGTCTATGTGTGAAACGCAATTTCAACACATGTAATTTTCATTCTATCATGTGAAAAAAAACAAAGCTACATCTTTATAAATATTTCCTAAAATGAATATAAAAATCCATCTTTAGGTATTAAAAATAATTGCGAAACTTGGCCGAACAAAGATCAAAATTACAATACATACGTATATAAATACTTTTAATATTATATATGAAGGAACAAATATATAATATGTAGAAAATACAATATTTTCCATCTAGGAATTACTCAGTATCTTAAGAAAAATATACCATTTCTACCTAACTCTGTCATCACAATTAGCACAAATTCACAAAAATGTAGAATGCAAAGTAACAAAAATTGATAATATAATGGGCTATATGGTATATATGTAAAGAATTTTTAATATACCTTCACAATATAAAATAATTTGGGTCTTTTCTTTAAAAATATGTTCATAATTAAATAGTAAAATGTGATGTGTTATAAAATTATTAAAAAGATAAAAAATAATGTATTATGCAGCATAAATTTACAAAAAAAAAAACTTTCCCCAGTATGCAAACTAAACAATATTTTCACCTCAAGGCATACCCCTCAACACGGGCTGACCTTATCTGTAAAAATATTTTCCCTTCACATCATTGCATACCACACAAATATAATAATTGCAAATAAAACTTCTTATAAAAATTTATAATTTAAAAAAAAAATATATATTAAATATAAAGATTTCATAATTTGGAAAAAACAAATATTATACACCATCTAATGTATCATACAAATTCCTATCCAATTTATATATACACTAAATGCAGACACTAAATCAAAATAACTATCCACATCTAACATTATAGATATTATTCTGACTTCATCATACTTCAATTCCTTCAAATTCTTATTCATAATTAAAAATATCATATGTTACCTATACAATATATTAACATTATAAATAATAATTCATAGTTAAATATATCATATGTTACCTATGCAATATATTAACCTTAATTAATAATAAAAAATGCAGACCCTAAATCAAAATAACTATCCACATCTAACATTATAGATATTATTCTGACTTCATCATACTTCAATTCCTTCAAATTCTCATTCATAATTAAATATATCATATGTTACCTATACAATATATTAACATTATAAATAATAATTCATAGTTAAATATATCATATGTTACCTATGCAATATATTAACCTTAATTAATAATAAATTATCCCATACATATTCATCCCTTTACAAACCCAAAATGCATAATTAAATAATACACACTTTATTACAAGAGTCTATATCCATATATATTTTCATAAATTTCACATATTTAAATATTTAACAATCCTTTCTGTCCTGCTGTTCATGAGGTCTTTCAGCTTCCTATGACGGAATACCTATAACACCATTCAATGAGTTTTAAGGCATACCAAATAATGATCAAAATTATATGTACCATATACATCTAGACATAAGATAATATACCAAATATTACTGTCTTAAATTCCTGATCTTATTTCCATATTTCTGCCTAATACTCATTACATACTTTCTATCTTACACCTTTTAAGTTAAATATAAAAGTATAGAAATCCTTAAACTCATGTATCTGTATAGTTTTTAGTACATTGCCTTGTCAAAATTTCTCTTATGTAATATGTATACAACAAAAATTTTGTTTTACTTTAAAACCGAATCAACCCACTCTTTCGATCTTGGTCAGCTGGCAACAATATTACAAGTTACCTTAAATATAACAAAAATGCCCTTTACTCTCAATTATATAACTTAACAACCCATAATTCTTTCTAATAATATTAAATAAATACCATTGACCATTAACGACGATCCATATTTAACATAATTATCTTTATTTCCAATAAAACCACAACAATCTAACATAAAATATGTAGAAAAATATAACATAATATAATTATCCAATTCTTCATTTCTCAAGGGTCCAAAGCTGACATCCAAAGGTCCACAGCTGACATCTAATTCAATATCTCTTAATCTCCAACTACGGGTTTTTCCGAACAATGAAATACACCCCGTGATCCTTATCTCCTCTTCTTCCCCCAAGGAAAACTTAATTTCCCTGTCAGAAAATAACTGACATTTGATGTATTATATTAAATTTATTTCTTCTTTTTTTCAACAGCTACAACAGTTATAACATAATAAAGCCTAGATTTTATTATAAAAGTTGTTAAAATGATACTGAAAGTTAACAAAAGAAAAGTAAGAAATTGCGTTTATTATATTTTTACATTAATCTAAAAAAACTAAAAATCTATTATCAAAAATAAGGTGTATATATATCTTTCATATTAAATAAAAATTTGAATAAACAAAAATATAAAGTATCAAAAAAATATTTTAAACAAAAGCAAGGTTACAAGCTAAAATAATCGTAAGTTAAGGTTATATTCAAATAATACCAAATAGTTATATAAAATATCGATGCAAATTTAAATATAAAAAAATCAATTTCATTATTTAACAAAAGTGTTTCCAATGAATTTATAAATTTAATTAAAAAATTTAAGTTAGAAAAATATTTGATGTCGCCATGCTGCCGCAGATTTTTGTAGCGGAATCTAAATCGATTCGAAGCAGCCGATCATTTTAAAAAAGAAACTCCCCGATAATCCTGTCGGCACATAGGTCTAAATATAGGAAAATTGATCATAAATTTAGTTTGAGCATTTTAAAAAATCATTATTTAAAAAAAAAATCAGATATCATAATCATTGAATATTTTAATTTTTGAGCAAATGTTATACTCTGCCTTTTTTTAAACATAATTTTGGATGATGATAGTGTACACTCTGGTTGCAAAATGTTTTCTTATATAAATTATAAAATATAATAGAAATAAACCTTCAATAAATAGTGATCTTAAATCCCAAATACTGCTCATAAAATTTATAAATTATCCCTAAATATAAATTATTTATTTTAAAAAATTGCATTAAGAAAAGATAAAAGAATATATATCATAAAAACATCCCCAAAATAATCTTCTATAAAGGTACTATATATTTTAATGAATTTTGATTCAGAGAACAGAAATTCCAGTCTAAGATAATTTTATTAGAACAATAAGAAATTCCTACTGATATATGCCCGACTATTGCTTAAAAATCATGTTTCTTTCTCAGTTTTGGAAATATCTGATGCCTACTTTTGTAAAATTTTTATTAAACAAATGCCCGTGTGTTGAAACCCGAACTAATAAGTATTACAGTGATTCTCCCGTAATTAAATAAAAGATAAGATTCTAATTCGCCCGTCATTCTTGACGGACTTCCTGCTCGTAATATTATATTCCATGACTTTCAGTTTATTAATAGGTATACTTTAAATCGTTAGTCCGCTCTAGACCGAGTTTAAAGGTCAGGTCTGTAGGTTTTCTGATAAATATAATTAAGTTAAAATGATTGTATATCAATTTATTTCGACATGAAAAGGTTCGAAAATTTGTAATATAGTATATTTTTATATAAATGTATCTTCTAATTAAATAATATAATTAAGTTAAAATTATTATATATCAATTTATTTAGACATGAAAATGTTCAAAAATTTGATAATATATATACATATGTATCTTCTAATTAAATATAATAATTATAAATATTGAAAAATGGCTTATTAATTAATCTAAACTATAATTTTAACAAAAAATTATAAAACTTTTATTATAATAGTAATTCATATTTAATTAATTTTCTATATCCCAATTTGATATAATGGAAGCTTGGCAGATTTAGGACATATTATGTCGATCAGGAAATTCAGAGGCCCAGCTAATCCTAAATATTAGATGAAATTATATAATTTTTATAAAGTTATAAATAATAATAGCTTACTCAATCAGTGTAAGTTACCATAAGATATTTACTCAAATGCGATTATTTTATAACTTTGTAGACAATCATAAAATAGATAATATATTATTTAGCGTAGAACGAAATTGAATTCAAAAACCTTCAAATAAGGAATAAGGGGTATCTGGGGTACGACAACCATGTCTCCCATAATCTTCAAACCATTTACCAAACTAAAAATATTAAAACTTTTATTTCATTTACCTTTTAATTACCGATTTTATTTCAGATACTATTTTAGCCTTAATAAACTGTAATTGTTTATTTAAAAAAAACTAAATAGCTCATATGGCATAATTTAATAGGGTTTATATTTATCAGAGACCTGCAGGCCCGGCCCTAAACCCGGGTACAAGAGCAGGGTCGTTTTAAAAAAATATAACGAGACCGTGCCTAATAAAAATTTTTAAGGTATCAGGGACGGATGGCCTAAAATTTTTTAAAAAATAACACCCGGGCAGGGCTGAATATTTTAAATCGACATTATATTCTATAAAAATTAAAAATGAATAAAATATATTTAAAAAGATAACAATATATCACACTCCTTCATTTATCATATTTCCATTTTTTCGATTATTAGAAAATATTTTGTAAAATATTATTCAAATTAATTCTTCAACTAATCATTATTTTAGGTGACATTCAATCAAATTTAAATCAACAAAAAGATACACTCAATATTCAAAATATAACACACTTTTTAAAGGAAAAATTTATTTTAAATAAGTATAATTTTATCTCTCTTTTTCTCTGTCCCAAATTCAGGCAATTACGTATGTTACTAGGGAGAGAGCGCAAAATGACTAATGTTTATACTTATATAAATGACTATATTAAATTACAAGAGGAAAAGGAAATAAGGGACTCGAATAGAAAGTGTGGTGATTCAAACCCATTCCCTTTCCCCTGAAAAACGATCCGTAAAATGCTGAATAAGTGTATATTTTTTTATACAAAAGCAGTAGAAAATATTTATACACCCTGGCCAAATATATATATTTTTTTAAAAATCTGAACCGAGCCAAAAAAATTTTTAAAAAAATCAGGGCCATAAAATATTAAACCCAGGCCGGTCAAAAAAATTTTGAAAAAATTACTGGCCAGGCCATGCAAATGGTACCTCTATAGGTCTCTGATATTTATAAACTGATATAAAATATTGATGTAAAATAAAGATGAGCTTAAACAAACTAAACTTTTAAGGCCCTATTCAAATGTAGTGAATCTCCCGTAAAATTATACAGAGCTAAAAATGCGTACGCATTACCGCTCACTCCGTGACATAAACCATAACTTTTAGCGAGTAGACCCTTTTCCCAAATACATTCGCCACACTTTAATGATACGGATAAAAATATAGCTTCTTTTTCTGGGAATACCTTAAGAGTTTGATAAATGTTAAAACAATAGCAATGGTGTAATACTTTAAAAAAAGTTGAATCTTAATTATCTCAAAAAGGTATAGATTAAAAATATTTAATGGGAGGTGAAAAATAAAATTCTTAATAAAGCATATCTCGCTTTTTTTAAAGATAAAATTATTTTTTATTTAATTCTCTATTATTATTTAATTTAAATAAATTATAAAATAAAGATTTTCTATAACTTCAGCTGCTTTCAAAAAGGTATAAATGACCCCAGGAGCCCCATGGCACCATTGAACAAGTTTATCCGAACCCACGGGGAGGGAAGATGGAAAATTTCCGGAATCAAACTGAAGACTCGATAAATAGCTTATGCTATGCTTTATTAGTAAGATGTATTTTTCTGGTAATATGTTTAGAGGTATTACCTAAATTGTGAGGTAAGTATATATAATACATATTTGAACATATTTTTATTTTTAAGTTCAATAAAAAATAATCAGGTACATAATTGTAAATTAATAGAATGATTATTTACAACACGGAAAAACGTTTGATTTTATATTAAAACCCAAGAATATAGACTCACCGTGTCTGTATTTGATTTTATCGCTAATATTAATAATCATTAAATTGTATTATGTAATTTTTTTTACACAAGTTAGCGCGTATAATATTCCAGAAACCCCGTGAGCGGCACCGATATATTCTTTGTCATGCCATTCGTACATCAAAGGGCATTGGTGATCATTTTGTCGAGAATATCTTTTACCCTCTTTCAGGATGATCACAGATATCTACATCATAAAATAAGTTTATAAATATATTTAAAGAAATATTTAACGTATCATATTTGTTTTTTCTAGTTTATAAACTATCTATTTACAAACTAAACAGCTAATGCATAAACTAGCTATCTGTTTTCCAGGTTTTGAAAAATTTTATCTTTAAAAATTAACTTCGTTTTTCCACATTTTGGCTTACTTTATATTCTTTCAACCCATTATTATATTGATTTTTTTTAAACTAAATTTTTCTCTCATTTTCATTACATTTGTATCCCACCCTCCATTATAGATTATTTATTTTAATTGTAATCTAAATTTTCTCCGTTTTCTGCTATCTTTATATTTTCTTCGTCCATTTTTTTTTAGTATTTTATAAAAAAAATTCTAACTCATTTGCATTTTTTTTCTACCCATTTTTGAGTATTACTTTTCTGTTCTCTCTTTTTTGTTCTCTTGAAAGAAAAATAAACGCTTTTACGAAGAAGAAATTTGGCTTGCCCAATAGAAAATATCGGCTTCCAAAAATAAAATTTAGCGTGCCAAAAAATGAAGGGCATGCCGGGTAAGCGTTGATACACCTCAAGCGGCAATACTGTATGAGACTAGATCTTATGAGCAAGATATACTCGTCAATAATTAGACCAGTGTCGACGACTTACTGATCTTAATCCTAACGCATGACATGGTAAATAGCAGAAAAGCATGGAGGACTGAAAATAAGGGTGCAGAAAGAATCCAACCATGAATAATATTAGATAGGATAATTATTAATATACAAAATAAAAATACAGAAGAATATGTGGCGAAATTGTTTGAAATTATGAGGCTAGGGGGTCATTTTTGATAAAATAAAAAATTCTCAAATTTAAAAATAGTCTCAATAAATAGTTACAAATATTTAAATTCTGAATCCCCTAAGGAGGATGATTATTCCTTATTCCAGAAAAATTTTAACTTAGGTAATATATTTAAAAAAATATTAACTAGTTGTCAGATAATTTGATTCCTTTGCTTACGAAGAGATTAGCTTTGTGCGTAGTATTACCAAAAAAAAAGAAATTCAGCTTAAAATTTTAATATAAGGCATTTGAATTGTGTTGTAGAATAAAGTAGGAAAATTGGCCAGTAGTTGACATGTTTAAATTTTCATAGAAACGGGCTGGGCTTAAAACTAAATAAAAAATTTGGAAAATGGACTTTTAAAATTGTCAAAAATTTCTGATAGCCGGGCTCAAGAAAAATTTTTTTAAAATTAGTAGGGCTCTAGTAAAATGGGTAACAACACAAAAATATTGATTTAAAAATAGTAAGGTGTTTGATTAATAATATTCATAAATAGCTTAAAACTTTGTGTATGGCGTTTATCAATGAATCTTTAACGTTAGCATCAATGGTTAACTTCGGATTGTGATTTGATGAAGATGGAGCATGAGATTTTGGAATTTCACCTTAAATTGTTAAGTATAACAAATTGCTATCGAATATTAAGACTTGATTTATAAATACAATATAAATTAAAGAAATTGCTATAAATTATTTTTATATCACATTCACATAATATTAAAATCAAAACTGATAATAAAAAATGTAAAGAATTTACATTTCATGTACTCGTCCAATTTGCACATTTAAACAATATAAACTAACTGTATATTAGTATAGATTGATTAAGATAATTTAATCTTTTAATAGAACAAGTATACATGATTTTTTTTAAATATGGCCCACAATTTACCCATTTACCTTTTCCATACAAGATGGATTTAAAGTAAGGGAAAAATAAACTTTGATATATGGCTCAGGAAAATGAACATCGATATAGCAAAGACAGTCATCCAAAAAAATGCATTTCAACCCACAAATATAAGCCAGGTGGGCTATCTTCTCATTAAAAGAGGGGATCCAAACAAGGATTGTAAACCGGAAAAGAAATTGTTGGGTAACATTAACCTATAGCACTTTTGAAAGGAAGAATATCCAGCAAAATGAGAAAATATTTCGACCAATGATATGATTTGAAAAGCTAAAGGAAGAGGAGATGGGGGGATATATATCAAAAACTACATTTAATCTGCTAACAATCAACGGAAGGAACATTGTAATAACATAAGGGGGAATGGCTAATCACATGAAAGAGACAGTGATAAAGGTTAGGAAAGAGTAACATTAGAGAGAGATCTAGTAGTGAAAGCAACCAGTAGGCGTAGCATCAATAATAAGGGGCAAGTGGTACCCCTTTGCATGGGGTTGTACATATAAATACTTTTCAGCCAAATACAACATATTCACCTAGGTCGTTTTCCGAGCGAAAATTTAAAAGAGAAACATTCAGATCTACAAAATATCCTCTGATTTCCAATAGTTATCTCATTAGGACTTTCGGTAAAGCACTCTAACAAATCCTCAAAAGATATTAATAGAGCCAAATAAGGAATTTGATATAGATGCACGCCGATACTAAAATTTTAACTGATACTAGTGACCGAGTCCAAATTTATAATTAACCTTTTTATATATAATTTGCCTTATTTAGCCATGAATTTCTAGGGAAAAAAATCGATCTACAAATTATTATACAAATGAGAAAGAAACCGTTTAAAAATAAATGTTAGCCCATATCATACTGTTTATTAAATGCCAAATATTTTACATTTAAATAATGATCATAATAAAACAGATATTAATAATAAAAAATTTTGTTGTGAAATTATCTTATTAAGTTAACTTCATCATTAAGGCTTCATTTATAGTAAATGCGTTTTGTTTGTTGCGTTATTACAAAATAAAGCTAATAGGTATAAATATATAAATATGAGCATTATGATGAAATCTGAAAAACATATCTTAGATGCGTTGATAAAAAATATGCGATACGCTTATAAAAACAATAGCTATTATAAAAAGGTATATGAGTTTTCTTAAATATTATATATAATAAATATTTCTACTTTAACTTTATCTTAAATTAGTTTTTAAAACTGAATCAGCTGTAATAACGCTACGTTAGATAACGCAACGCTTGAAGATAACGCGTTTACTATATGCAGTATAAAAAATAAATTTCAATTACAATGCTAATATAATGAGAGATCCAATATCAACAATAGAATGAAAAGGAGAAAACGATTGGGGTTGAGGGAAACTATATGGAACCATGATATAGGTGAGAAACAAACTAGGGATTAGAGGTATAAACAAAACTGACTAATAAAATTAACTAAAAGAAGATACCAAATGAGTGGATAAAATTGTGGTGAATGGGAAAGTCAGGTTTCATGCGTCTGGACGTATGCCCCAATCCATATAAGAAAACCGATCCTAAAAAGTTCGTTTCAATAATGCGACACAAGGTTACTTTAGGTCCTAAGAAAAAAATAGATTTTTTCATATATTTTTTAAGCAATATATAGGATTAAATTGTCTAATTTTTTATCTCAGTTATTTAAAATTTTAAAAGAGTATTATTGATATCCTAGAATTCAAAGATGAACATGAAAAGGGAGAAAAAAAAGTTGAAGAAAATAATAAATTCAATTATACAAGATATATTACTAATATATGATAAATCCATATGAAAATTACGTCTTATTTTACAAAAAAATATTCAGTATAAAATTTTTTAAATATATATTTTTACATAGTCTATCTATACACAAAAGAATTACAATGGCTTTTTAATTTTAGGAAGCTAAGTTTTTTTAGTATATATGGAGTACTCATAAAAATGATTTCAAAAGACAAAATATTACATCATTTCTAATTTTTTTATAATTTTTAATTTACCTATTAGAACATACCTTTTTTGCCCATATTCTGAGAAATTTTCTAAATCTGAACAGATCAGAAAAATATGTCATCAAATCTGTAAACAGAATTAAGCGTATAAACAGATTACAATCTTATACTCCAGCACCTACCAATATAAAAAGGCTTAAAAATTAGTTTGCCATTTAATTTTTCGTTTAATTAATATTGCAACTTAGTTGACTACAGGAAAAAATCCTAAACCATTTAGGGAAAAGATGTCGGGCACCTTATAAAATACTGGTAGCACAATTTGGAAATAAATAACAAGAATATTCCCAGATTTCGATAAAAGAGCCATCAATTCTGTAAAAAAAACGTTCTTAAGTCATTTTAAATTTTTTGTTTTTTGAGTCGGGCCATACGTGTGCTTTCAGGTGGCGCTTCCGTCATAATTCAATCTCGTAAAATTTTAGTATGAAAGGAAAAATCGGAATATTACATTCAACGTTTAGTCGATTTTTCTTATGATTAATAAACTGGTATTTCTTCCCGAAGAGCAGAGGTGTAAACCGAGCCTAAATCCAGTTTTTTAGAAATTATTCTTGAACCAGGGTTCAGAACATGATAATTTGCAACATCAAAAATATTTAATTATATTAATTTCAAGATTATTCATATTTGAAATGTTTCGGAAGCATTTGAAATTATTTGTAGGTGTTTAAAATTTCCCGATCAGTATTTTCCTTATAAATCCACATCTATTGATAATTTAATTAAATGTTAATGATTCATATTTTTAGTTTTGAAAATATATTTAAAGAATTTAATTTTTGAAATAAATCGAAAACTTATTCTTTAATCAATTGTCAGCCAAACATTGCTGGCAAAATATAGAAAAATTGCTAAGATTAATATCAAGCAATTCTAAGAGCAATGGCCTAATTCATGATTAGTACTTACTAATTCATCAATCAGTTTTCCCAGTCAATAAATAAAAACCAATTATAAACGAATTACAAATTAAAACAAGCTATAGGCTGAATCTTTCGAATTTTAAATCATGATTCAAAAATCAATTTTAAAAGGTTTCTTTTCCCCGATTCAAAATATTTTTGGATCTATGATTCTATGATCTTTATAGATGTTATTTCTTTATTTAATGAATATATAGGTAAAATAGTTTAAATCTCAATATTTTCAAAAAATTTGATATGAATCTGATATTAAGGCACAGGCCTAAGTATAAAGTTTGACAAACTTTTGAAAGCACTAATTCTAAATTTTAGGCCAATATGTAATACTTAAAATGTGTAAATTTTAATATAATCTTCAATCCGCTTAACAAATAGTATAAATAAAAAAGTTATTTGTAAAATACGAAATGACTAAAATTGATACTAAGATTCAAGGAAGCACCAAAACAATTAAAAATCTTTTTTATCATCTTTCAAAATATGAGACTCGATGTGGCTGTAACTTTGATACTGCTATAATTAGTTGCGGTGACATAAAAAAGTAGTCAAATTAATGGCATCTTTGGAAAATGTGATATTAAAATAACATAGATTAGTTACGAAAAATTACAAACGGTTATAATAGCAGATTTTATATTCTCAAGTGCTAAAGTTGAGCGATTGTTTAGTATAATATTAATACTAAGTGCACTTTTACAATTGAAAATAGAAAAGGTTAAACATCGATCTCAAGTCATGTCCAGTTTTTTAATTTTATTTGTCTTTGATATTGTTAATTCGTAAATTTTTTCTCACATTTTTTTAAATAGAAAAAATTTCCTAGATGACTTCATACAATTAAAACATCGAAGAGGTGGTTTTATCAATGTAAAAGATATGAAAGCAAATTTTTGTCTAGATATCAATACCTAATCATATTTTCAGGGAATGGGTTAGGGGATTTTCTTAGACCACTGGAATCCAAAAATTACATTACTGGTATTCGAATTGAATTTCTGAATTGAATAACTGTATTATTTATATAAGGCACTAAATATTAACGCAAACCAGATAATTGAAACTTCTATGTTCTCCGTTCTAGCATGATGCTAATTTTGACTTTAAAAATAATTATTTTCCCCTACCATCTACCTAACAGAATAAAACAATAAAATACCCTAATAAAGCCCTACCTATTGGTTTGGTAGTTTCAGAATTCGTGCTTCCAAAAGCTTAGCTTAATTTATGCTTAAAGCGTGATGTCATAGTTTTCATTTAGCTTATAACTCAGTTCCTTTTTGTGATTTTCATATTTATTTAGGGGACACTAAATATTAGCGACGCCTATAGTTTTTTTATTTTTCCATTCTAAATGACAAAATTGGAAATTTTTCTTTTTTCTATATACTATCTACTAAAGGGATTAAATTAATTTAAAATGTAGCACTAAACATTGAAAAAGTTTCAGAATAAATGCAGCCTCTTTATAATCAGGTTGGCCAAAATGTTGTTATTAATAAATTTTTCTTTATACTGGTTACTATACTGGTTGAATTCAGACACTAATAAAGAACAAAACATTTGTATATTTTACAATTAGTTCTTCCAATTAGTGATGCAAAAATCGCCCCATTTAAGCAGATTTTTAAAAACGGTTAACCCAGTATTTTATCCAGAAAAATATTACGCAAGCCTGAAGATTTTGTTCATAGATGGCACAAAGGACATCTATTAGTGAAATCTCAAAGCTTATGTTTGTAAAAATCGGCTCAAATAATTTTGCACTACTAATTCCAACTGTTCAGCCAACTTTAACAAAGATAATATAAAGATAACCACGGAATAATCAAAAATAATTTTTTATGTGAAACACCTGGCCGAAGGCTGGGCAAAATGGGGTTTAGAATAACCCACCACTCTCCCCATAGATAAATTTTGGCTAGGCCAGTTAGATTCTATTCATATTCTTATAAGTATAATAATAATATATTCATGGGTGAAAAATAAATGTTTTTATTGTTTCTCACAAATCTTATTGCTGTAATACAAATATTTTATTGGAAATTTTTTACATTGAAATATAAATTTAAACAAGATGGTAGGGGATAGCATATTATGCTCATGATGTTTGAAGTAAAATGTCATTTTAAGCTCGTATAGTTATGCTGCTACTTGAAGAAAAAAAAAGTTTTAAGTAGTGCTGTACGGTAACGTCAAAATTACCTCTTTTTCTAGAAGTAACGAGTAACGGTAACGCGTTTCTTTTTTTTGGGTAACGTTTTAAAACGTTACTCGTTACTTTAAATTTTTTCTTAAAAAAATATTAATAAAAAAAACATATTTTATTGTGCTATAAAATTACTTTTATTTATTTTTAATATAAATAATAAACCGAGTTTTTAATTCATATCAACCACCATTCCTTTCATTCTTATTTAAATTTTCGCTCGTTATTTTCAATAAAATTTTAATCTAACTAATATTCAATCAAAATTCAAAGTATATATTAATATTATTATTCTATATTATAATTTATTTTAAGAATATATGACAAACTCTATAATAGTTGATTCTTCTGATGAAGAAAATTTAACCCTATATACTATCAGCAATGATTCACCCACTCTTTAAATTAGATTGGCCCTGGATAAAATCAGAGATGAATAAACAAAGAATGCAAGATCTTATTTCCATTTTGAGAAAAGATCTTGATAGAGAAAGAGCAGACCTGATTCCCTTAACCAAAACAAATACCAAAATATTTTCTGATAAAGATAAAAAAAATTTTGATGAGGAAATTAATGAAAATCCTTGTGAAGATGTTTTATTAAATTTTTTTCAAAATAAAAATACTTCTTTAAATATTTTTAATAAATTCCCCGAGTTAAAATTTTTATTTATTAAATATAATACCACCCTCCCATCCTCTGTTCCAATTGAACGTGTGTTTAGCACGGCGAAGTCTGTGTTGAGCACTAAGCGCTCTTGTTTGTCGGATGAAAATTTTGAAAATCAATTATTGCTAAAAATAAATAAAAAATTATTACAAAAAATGTTATCTTATGATTATATATTATATATGAAAAATTTTTATAATAAGATCTCATCATTTTATGTATTATTTTTTATAGTTTTGTCTATATTATATATTGTAAGAAAAAATAAATATATTTTTGTATATAATATTTAATTTTTTTAAGTAACGAGTAATACGTTACTTTTTTGAAAAGTCAGTAACGCGCGTTCCTTTTTTAAAAAGGTAACGAGTAAGGGTAACGCGTTCTTTTTTCCAAAGTAACGAGTAACGGTAACGCGTTTCTTTTTTGAGGTAACGTTTACAGCACTAGTTTTAAGTAGACCTGTGAGCCACCGGCAATTTTATTCACGCCGAAACAGCCGCCGATTGAGATCATCAACGTGAGCCAGCTTGCCGGCAATTTTTTTATGGCTGCGACGCAGCGTGTATAATTTTTAAAATGCTGTTTAATTATATTATATATTAAATTATTATTATTTAAATTTGAATATTAACATTAATAAAATTAAAATATGAATTGTATTCTATTGCTATATATAATAGAATAGTGTATATTATTCACATTCATTCCTACATCATATTCCATTTCCACAAAATATTAATTATTTTTATGGACTAGCACGTTT